GGTATATATAATTTCCCCCATTGATTTTTTAATTATTAAACCTAAACCTCCAAAAGGACGTCCCGGTCCTGTAGGTTTTTGAGCCATTTGCGTAATTATATGATAATTTTCATTCTGTTTGATCAGTGATTTAGGAAAAGTTGTCATCCAAGTTTCTGTGATAGCTATTATATCGGATTTCTTTAACATCAGTATAAAATCTTTTGTATTAATTTTATTCTTAAGTCCCTGAGAGTTCCAATTAGTTATCACAAGATGGGAAATTATATGATTAGAGGTAGATTCAGGGAATTTATCGTTATTATTATATATATCGGGTAAAGGATTTGGTAGTTGAATCTTCTTAAAATTTAATTCTTGTATTGGGGAAGCAAAATTGGACCTTTGTCATTGGTTAGAATTCTCGGAAATAGAAAATGGTTTGAAAGAATCCAGGTGTACCAACCCTTCCAATACATAACTATATGTCAAAGAAAAATTATCCAACGATATGGTATCGCCTCGGAGTTTAGGATATTTACCAGTTTTTCTTAGTTCACTTAGAAAAGGAATTAGCTGTTTCCGTCTTATTCTAGATCTTTTAGTGAGGTCCTGTGCTATTTGGGTGTCTTTCCATTCGCTCTGTGTATTTTGTTGTTTCATTTTTATAAATCTTGAGTAAATGTAATCTCTTATTTGAGTATTTTTAATGATTATTTTAATTGTAGGATTCTGAGATTTTGTTATCGGAATAATTGCTATTATATCGTCCATTGTGACTTCCTGTAAATCTAATGTTTCGTTAATTAAGTTGAACACTTCTAGTTTGGTAGGACTTTTTTTGCTTGGATATCTAAATAACATTATATTACTGCGATGTTGCATATTAATCATATTATCCATTTGATATTGCATTATTTCATTTTCTATTTTTAACGTAATAATTTGTTGTTCAAGATTTATTATTTTATTATTCATTTTTAGATTTTGATTTTTAGTTTCTTGAATATTATTGCGTATCTGGTCCAGATCTTCTTTAATAATGGTCATTTGGTTTAATATTCTAGTATTAGAATTGTTAATTAGTTCAGAAATTTTGTTCCATAGAGTCATACTCGTTATATCGGATATATTTTCCAATTTTCCTGGTGAAGAAGATAGCATATTAAATGGCTCACCTGATAATTGCGTCTTTGGAAGTGTCGTTTCAGAGTTCGAATTTATATTTGCAGAGGATGTTTCTGGAGAGATTCTTTCAACATGAGTATTGTAGTCTGTAATTAGCTTGGTATTAGTATTCGGAGCAGATTCTTTCCTGTTAACTGACTTTGACCTTTGAAGTGGTGGTCTACCTCTTTTCACTGGCGAACGTTGCATATTAAATATATTATTAAACTATCCAACACTAATAATATTACTGCACAACACAAAATAAAAAAAAATTTAACTATTTTTAATTAGTAGAATAAGTTCTTTGCCTGTTTTTGAGGTGAGTGGAAAAATACGCCAACAGCCTCGGCAGACAGAAGCGCCCCGCTATAACTATAATATCTTAATTTTATATTTAAACATATCTTTCATATTGTCTTTATGTAAACAGTGGTTCAAAATTTCTTATAATTGAAAATTTTAGAAAAATGAATTTCTCAATTATCAGAAACAAATGAAACCATTCTGAAAGACATAAATGCTTTTAAAATTTATAAAAAGCACATATTCAAAAAGTTCCTAGAGTCATTTAATTTTATAAATATCAAACCCCCCAAAAAATAATAACATTTTCATTAACATTGCTCTTGTACAACTAAACATGTCACTGCATTAACACAGTTTTAAAGTCATTGGCTGTAAAATTACTGGAACCAAGTTTTTAATAATTTATGCAATATTTCCATCTACACCATTAAATTCTTCATCATGAAGAATTTAATGGTGTAGATGGTTGATATCATCAACACGAGCAATACAGTATGATATTTCTTATGAGCTTTCTGGGTTAATAAATATATTCAACAAATTAAATAAAAATTTTCCTAATTTAATTGTTGCAATGTTATAGTTAACATATTGAAAAATATGCTAGAAATTTGTTATATTTATGAAAATAAACCTGAATAAAGTTATTTACATANGGGAATTTTTAAAAGTAAAATTCTTCTGAAAATTTTTTACAGAATCTGTATCGTTTATCGAATAAAGTCGACTTTTCTCCTTGGACTTTTCTCATCTGACAACGCTGGCGCCACACCGCGATTAAATTTAGAACTATTGTTCGGAAAAGTTTAAGTCATGTGACAATACAGTACTAGCATTACCCGCCATTTTCAAATGTCTATCATGTGCTATTATAAGTATACGAAAGGCTAGAGTCATCCATATGAACCCGGATAGAAGAAGGATGAGAAAGTACACGGAAGTTATGCAATGGTTTTGTTAATAACATACCAAAAGAATGCTGTGAGAAGGTAACTGTTATATATAATAAAGTAAATATTATCTAAGTGATAAACAAGTACAAATGGAAGAAAAGACGAAAGACGATTTAATGAAATTAAAAATTAAGATTAAAAAATGGGAATCGAATTTTTACCGACAGAATAAGCGGAAACCTGATAAAGTAAGTCGTTTATTTGTCAATACAATATTACATCTAGTTTAAATTTATTTTTTAATAAATTCTTTTATTGTGATATAAATTATGGATAATTACCACAAACAAACAAATAATATTTAAAGCATTCATGCTGTTTTAGCATTGTTAGTACAACGATGCCTGTCATTATCCTAACAATACTAGTACATTACAATGGCTGTGTTCAGCAGATTCAACAGTCGTAACTGAGCAAAGGTATTTCAATCAGTAGCTGTTACGTAGGGTGCGTTTACTTCTGAGTTAGCAGTGCTAATTCTGATAACCGGATGTGACGTCATTAGCACGAATACACGTGTTAATGACGTCACATCCGGTTATCAGAATTAGCACTGCTAACTCAGAAGTAAACGCACCCCTAGTTACATCTGCTGAGTGACATATGTATTGGAACAAAAAACAGCCATCATTGGTCAGTTTTGGGTAGCGATAGGTAGCATAAATGAAAGACGCTACTAACTGTGATGTCAAAATACCAAACATGTTCCAAAACAGTGCTACTGTAGAAGGTGTTTAGCAGAAAAATACTCAACAGCTCCAGAACTGTTCAGTCTGCTGAACACAGTGAATGTTGTAGGTATGGTGATGAGATTTCTGAGTCTTCAATATAGGACAGGTTTGGAAAGAAAAAAAGTACAATAGTGATACCCAAAAGCCACAGAAACAACTCTTTATAGCAGTAATTTCCAACTACCTGTTTGTGAAATTTTTGCTAGTACATAAGAAATAATTGAGTCTATTCATTTTCATTAAATTCAATCAAAATATGAGATCTGTTTTATTTGTGTCTTGAAAGGCAAGTTTCAATTACATATAAACCATTAAAATTAAATTATCAAAATACAATATTTTGAAAGCTACATATCATTTAACCATCTCAATGGAATAAAATTTAAATTACATTGAGGTTTTTTTCTGATCTGAAGATGAAACTATCCCAAAAAAAGGTTTGATCCTTATGAAAAAGTTGACTTCTTCAGCCAAAAGTGTTATTTATTTTGATAAATAATATGAAATAAAAAATTACAAATAAAATAACTTTATTTGTAATTTAGACAAGTTTATCATAGACATGAAAAAATTGTCAGCATATTGCTAAATGATTTAAAATAGTGCAAAATCTAGCAATAAATCTTGAGATCTGACAATTATGAATGTGTTATACTGTTTGCAAGAATTTCTAATTAACAAACAGAAATCCAATTTGCTGATTCTTCTGTTTCCAAGAGTCATTGCTAGTGCTCTCCTCATGTTAACATTGAACTTGAAAACAGATGACTTTTTCATTAATGAAAAATGGATTTATTTTTGATCATTAGCAATTATGTGTAAAGGTAACATTCTTTTACAAGATATTCTGCTCTCAAGTTTGTCTTATATCCCCCTTCTTGCTTGGTCATGCATGGTTTCTATTTTTTAAAATGTTTTTCACAATTATTATCTTAAAGGAAACTTTATCTGTTTGTTATATATATTTATAAAACTGTCAGTCTTGTGCATTAAATATATGTAAACAAGTAATTTTTTATTGACAATATATTTCATATCATATAAGTATTTTTACTTCTGTCTTGTAAGAAAGAAAGCATTATTTTTAAACATTATTTTACATTACTATTCCAATTTTTTTATTTAAAATTTACTGTAAATAAAATAAATCAAAACTGAAAATAAAATTGACGAATAAAATTTAAAATTTACATTAATTTTTAAATTAAGAAGCAACGTTTATGGGAATATATATATCTTTTTAAGGTTTTTTCTGGATCCACAATTTTTGTTATTTTGCTTATATAAGGATAGTATGTAATCTTAGCAAGGTATTAATCTCCTAAATTAAATCATAACTTTTATCTTGCTTTCTGTATATATTTCTTCTGTTTTTTTATTACATATTATTAAAATTTTATGTTAAATTTTATGTATTATATAAACCAGTGCTTCTCAAACTGTATGTTCACAAACCAGTTTTTTCATTACAATCCATTGCAGACCAGTATTTTTGTGAAATTAAATAAAAATAATTATAAAAAGAAAAGAACTGAGTTCAAATACATTTTTTCTTAATTTTTATTATAGACTGAATTAGTAAGAAAAATACAATAATAAAATTTGGTTCTAATCATTTTAAAAAGAATTTGTGGGCTATTTTCAAATAATTTCCTGAGTTGATTTCAATCAGATTAGTGCCTGGCACTACTGTTTAAATGATAAAGACAAAGGAAAATTAAATTAAAAACCTTTTAAAAACATATTAAGACATTTTAAAATAGTTTTATTAATGTAATATATAAAATAAAATTTTAAGTGAAATCTTGTTTTAACCCAGTATTAAACTGTTTGCAGACCACAGTTTGAGTAGCATTGATGTAAACTTTATTAAACTAATTCTTAATTATCTTGCTGAATAATTCTTCAAGATAATGGAATTAAAAGACTACATACAAAACTAAATGCAAGACTGACATATTGTGTATTGCTTTTGTGCTTTCAATCTCACAAAAATACAAAACTTGGTGTATGTAGTTTTGATATAAAGAACATGTAAATTTTCTTGATAAGAAGAAAAGAAAATTTACATGTTCTTTATATCAAAACTACATACACCAAGTTTTATAAGAACATGTAAATTTTCTTGATAAGAAGAATAAATATATAGAATAAATAGAATAAATATTGTACATTTATAGTATTTATAGTATTTATATTGTATATTGTATATTATAAATATAAATAGAATAAATCGTCTTTAGAATAAATATGAACTTCATTCATATTTATTCTAAAGACGAATTGCTGCTTGAGAAAGGTCCGAATCGCTGCTTGAGAAAGGTCCTAGGGAAGGAACCGAAAACGTTCGCAGTTCATTTTACGATTATATAATACCGGTTATTGATTTTATTAAGTGGTTATTTTTATATTAATCCAGTATTTGAAGATTCTTTGAATGTTGTTTTATTTAAAATGTAATTACCATAATTTCTTGTTTTTGTTTGAATGTATCTTGATTTAGTTCTAGATAACTTAGAAGTGTTTGAAGATAATAGTATCCTATTGATAACAGTTGCATTATTTAAATAAAATTTTGCACTCAAAATAAAGTAGGGTGATTTTTTTATTTAGTGATGAATGAGTTATATTAAAATATTACATATACTGAACTCATAAATATACAGAATACTTGATACAGGAAATTACTAAAATATAATATTTGCATTGTAAACTCAAGTGCTTGTAGTTAGAGATTCATTAAGTAAATCTAACAAAATTTCATTTCTTTGTTACATGATTGAAACTACTTTTAGAAGTTATAAAATTATATATGTATTATTTTTGAATTGATTAATTTAAATCATAATTTTCAGAATGACGTGAAAAATGCATCTGAGGAAATTCAAGGTAGGTTGAAATTTTTAATTTTTTTAATACAGGGTGTCCCAAAAAAATGTCTACACACTTTAAAGAATTATAAAGTCAGTGTTTATTAAAATATATTTCATTTTCAAAATGTAATTGAATCTACAGACATTATTTAATTGTTTTGTCAATGCCTGTTTTTAAACTGATGTTCATTCTGGTCCAGCCACTGCTGACGATGCAAAGCAATGGAATTGCAAACATCACAAAACATTTCGTTTGGTACTTGTGTGCATTCTTGTCCAATTGCTTTCAGTTCAGCAACTGTGCAGGTTTCATAGTGTAGACTTTCTTTTAAGTATCCCCATGAAAAAAGTCTTAAGTGGTGTGAGGTCTGGTGAATGCGGAGGGTATCCTACGAAACCCCTTTGTCCAATCCTACATGTTTGGCAAGATCTCATCAAGGTAGGATCTAACATCGTGTGGTAGTGTGGGGTGCCCGATCTTCAAACTTTTCTCTAATTTGAGTGATTATAAGTTGTATTCGTGGATCTGTTTGAAACTCCCTCCTAAACTGTCTTTGCACTTCAACTGTGTTTTCACACTTCCAGTAGCAGAATTAGAATGAGTTTCCTTAGTTCAAAGCTTAGTCTGATTTCCATTATTAATTCTAATGGGTTTAACCTGGAAATAAAAAGCATCAATTGAGCTATCAGCTGTTAAAGTGTATATACAGTTTTTTGGGACACCCTGTATTTCACATTTAGAAATAAGTTGGTTTAAAATATTTTGGAATCATTTATTTTATTACAACACAAACACATTTACAAAATTTTTAGGTTTGTTGTAAGTTTTATACATTACATTGTTAAATGATTTAATTATACAAAATAAAAAAAATTTTGCAAACACTAATTTAAATATTAATATTTATTTATTTTTTATTTAATATTCACATCAATAGACTAGCCATGACTGTGAAAATTTAAAAATATAATAGAATTTAGTAATTTTAGAATATTACAGGAATTATATACAGTAAACTCCCGATTATCCGGGCTAATGGTGGGTAGAGGTGGCATGGATAATCCAGAAACACAGATAATCTGAACTATAATTATTTATTTCTAAAATACAACATGTAGATTTACCTTTTTCAAATTTTTCAATTAACGTTAGTTTTTGTTTTATAGTAAGTATGACTTTCTTTTGTTAACATGACAACTTCATATATAAACATATAGATATCCAAATGCACTATAAACAGTTTAAGGAGTTAGGTTTAATTGGGATAAAATGTTTTTTGAGACAGACAGATTCAACTTGTTTCCAAAAAACAGAATTCTGATGACATAATTTTGTTTCTCAGAAATAAGTTGTTTCTGATGGTGAGATGTCTTTGTGAAAAATGTTTTATCCTGATTAAATTTGGCTCCTTGAACAGTTTTAGTATGTTCAGATATTCATTTATTTTAATTTAAGTAATAAATTTTTTGAATTGGATTATAACTTTAAAGGTTTTAATATGCTTCATATTTGTTTATAAATTTAGAGTGGTACGAANGTTTGTTGTAAGTTTTATACATTACATTGTTAAATGATTTAATTATACAAAATAAAAAAAATTTTGCAAACACTAATTTAAATATTAATATTTATTTATTTTTTATTTAATATTCACATCAATAGACTAGCCATGACTGTGAAAATTTAAAAATATAATAGAATTTAGTAATTTTAGAATATTACAGGAATTATATACAGTAAACTCCCGATTATCCGGGCTAATGGTGGGTAGAGGTGGCATGGATAATCCAGAAACACAGATAATCTGAACTATAATTATTTATTTCTAAAATACAACATGTAGATTTACCTTTTTCAAATTTTTCAATTAACGTTAGTTTTTGTTTTATAGTAAGTATGACTTTCTTTTGTTAACATGACAACTTCATATATAAACATATAGATATCCAAATGCACTATAAACAGTTTAAGGAGTTAGGTTTAATTGGGATAAAATGTTTTTTGAGACAGACAGATTCAACTTGTTTCCAAAAAACAGAATTCTGATGACATAATTTTGTTTCTCAGAAATAAGTTGTTTCTGATGGTGAGATGTCTTTGTGAAAAATGTTTTATCCTGATTAAATTTGGCTTCTTGAACAGTTTTAGTATGTTCAGATATTCATTTATTTTAATTTAAGTAATAAATTTTTTGAATTGGATTATAACTTTAAAGGTTTTAATATGCTTCATATTTGTTTATAAATTTAGAGTGGTACGAAACATACTGGCATCTCCGAAATAATAGTCACAGAAATAAAATTTGCTTAGCTGAAGTAAGTATCTAACATATAACAGAATGAAAATTTATTATTAAAATATATTACTTAAATGAATACCATTTCAATGCTTATATATGAAACATTTTTCTAAACTTATTTTGCTAAAATTATTGTATTATTGTATTATCAAAATATGAGATTACAGAAATTTATTAATATAATTTTTTACTGTAATAATAAGTAAACTTAAGTAATAATATACTGTATATATAATTATAAAAATTGTTATAATATATATATTATAACAATTTTTATAACAATAATAAATACAATATTTCAATATAAAACTGATTTTGGTTATTAAATCTCTTTTATATTAAAAATTATATTAAAACACATTATTTTGCAAGTAATTTTGTCTGTTTTGCTGCAACATATCAACTTTTCTTTATATAATGTAAATTTAATAAGTTATTCAAAACACAAAAAGATTAAAATAACAAATTTATGTTATTTGAAGGAAATAATTATAAATGAATGTGGTTTGAATGTTTTCAAGGTAACATTCACATTTAGGAAATAAACAAAATGAAAATGGCTAAGTCTCACTTGTTTATAAGTTATTTCTAATATTTTTGAAATTAAGTGTTGATAATAAAAATTAAATTAAATAAAAATAAATCTGAAGTTTATCATAAACAATAAAAAAAAAATGCTTGTATACATTGTATTCTATATTGAAACTCCTAGCATGATAAATAATCTAAAATGTTATGCCAAATTTGAGTGAAATGCTTAGCTTACCTTTTTATGATAGTAGCAAAGATTACTTTTTACATTTAAATATATTATAATTCTTTAATTAACTAAAGAATGAGGTTATCTTGATTTAAATATTTGGTGTATTTTTTGAGTCAAATTACAAAACTACACAAAATAAAATCAAAGAATGTTCCAGATATTTAAATTTACAATATGTTTTATCTAAACCTGTATGTTTGACATTATATTTGAAATATATAAAAATTATAAAATTTATAGCATTAACCATTATTTTATATATATGAGTATTAAAAAAATATCAGAAGTGACATAAGCTAAAACTATATTTAGTAAAGTATAATTTCTCCTATTTTATATTATTATTATTAAAATATATTAATACATTTATATATTTCAGGACAATGAAGTATTTAGTTCAAGTTTCAATAAATCTAGCAAAAGTGAAAATAAGTCAATATTAAGTAACGTTTCTTCAACCTTAAGCACTTATAGTCATAAATTACAACAATATGCCAAAAAACAGGTTAGTTTATAATAAAATGTTTAATTATGAATTAAATTATGATTACAATTAATTTATTCATATTAAATTACATTTAGAAAAATCTTATATAATAAAAATAAATTTTTTTGCTATAACTATAATATCTTAATTTTATATTTAAACATATCTTTCATATTGTCTTTATGTAAACAGTGGTTCAAAATTTCTTATAATTGAAAATTTTAGAAAAATGAATTTCTCAATTATCAGAAACAAATGAAACCATTCTGAAAGACATAAATGCTTTTAAAATTTATAAAAAGCACATATTCAAAAAGTTCCTAGAGTCATTTAATTTTATAAATATCAAACCCCCCAAAAAATAATAACATTTTCATTAACATTGCTCTTGTACAACTAAACATGTCACTGCATTAACACAGTTTTAAAGTCATTGGCTGTAAAATTACTGGAACCAAGTTTTTAATAATTTATGCAATATTTCCATCTACACCATTAAATTCTTCATCATGAAGAATTTAATGGTGTAGATGGTTGATATCATCAACACGAGCAATACAGTATGATATTTCTTATGAGCTTTCTGGGTTAATAAATATATTCAACAAATTAAATAAAAATTTTCCTAATTTAATTGTTGCAATGTTATAGTTAACATATTGAAAAATATGCTAGAAATTTGTTATATTTATGAAAATAAACCTGAATAAAGTTATTTACATATAAGATCATATTAAAAATACTCTGATAGTATTAATATTTTTAAACTAATTGTTTCTACCTATTTAATATTATTAATTGCATTGTTTAAAAAATTATAACATTTGAACTTAAAATTGCATTTATATAATTTTAATGCACAACAACTAAGATTTAAAACTTTGATTTGTTAGAATTCAAAATTTATTTTATAGAATTTATTTTGTACTTTTTATTGAAATCATTGTATAGTTATTTTATGTTGAAAAACTTATTATCATATTGTAAAAAAATTAGAAATCCATAATGAAATATATATTTAAAAAATGTAAAAATATAAAATATTGAAGACTTATACAAAAATATTTTGATATTTTTTAAATGTCTATTCATTTAAATATATATTCTAGTTTTTATTTTTTTCACAATGAAAGTTTTGGAAATATCTGCTGTCACAGGAACTTTTAAACAATTTGTTTGTAAAGAAAGGTTGATTTTGCTGTGTAATTTGTGTTCCAGTGATTTTGAATGGACATTTAGAAGACTTCAAAAGATTTTTTTATTATAAATCTTCAATATTGTATATTTTTTAAATTATGAACTTATTATTTTGTATAAAGTTTGCAATTTTTTCTAAGTTTACATTAATTTTAACAGGATGAATTTCTAAAGATGAATTTACATTTAAAACCAGATAACAATATAAATAACTCCGAAGAAAATGTTAATTTATTAAGTTCTGACTTAAAAGCTGAAAATGACAAAAATGTAGATAATAATACTATAAGTGAAGAACTGATTGAAAAAGACAACAATTACTTAAATGTAAATAATATGCAATTATCAAACTTTAAAATATATAAGTACAAACGTCCAATTAATGCCTGGTCATTAAAAAATTCTAATAAAATACAAAATAAATTTCTTCATTATCAAAAAAATAAAATAGATATTGAATGGTTAGAGAGGTGTTTGGTAGAAGAAAAAAATGAAAAAGAAAACCATTTTCAAGATTTAGACAGAACTATAAAAACAAATGAAAATCAAGTAACTCATCATTTTGAAGAGCTTTCATCAAACAATAATAGAATGCAAGTTGATTCATGTGAAAATGTTTTTGAAAATAGATCAAATAAAAAAGAAATTGCTTTAGATAGTGATAATAGTGAATGTCAAAATAATGATAATCAATATTGTTCTGGAAATGATCATCAATCACCTCTTATTGATTCTTTAAATAGAGAAGAAATTAAAGAAACAAACAATAATCTACAGAATAATAAAACTGAAACAGAAAATATTAAGTTTTCTCATCTGAAAAGGTAAATATCATTTTATTTAAATTTATGAATTGAATAATTTTTGTAATTCATATTGAAAATGGAAAAAAAATAAGTCATGTATTAGAATATTATAATATTTATTTCTTTAAATTTTTTATAATAATTTGAAATTCTAAAATAATTATCCTTATGTTATTACATAACTAAAATTGCATCATACAAAGTTATAAAATTGCATATTCCTTAAGAGAATATATTATATATAGTAAGTTATAATATAATTTATTAAAAATTATTATATTATAAAATAACTTATATAAATTATAATAGAAAAAAATTAAAAATAAAACTGAAATAATTTAAGATTTAGTGCAGACATAGCATTAATATTCTAATTAGAACTTGAATAAGCAATTTTATTGATTGACTGATTGAGATGATAATTATTAACAGGTTAATGAATTTGTTAATTGTCATCTGAAATATAAGTTAATTTATAATTTCTATTTGTAGTGAATCTTTTCTCATTTACAAACAAGAATGAATATTTTCAGATTGTTTTAGTCTAGATATTTTCATTTCCATCTCAACTTAAAATTTACAAAAAGTAATTATCTTCATATTTTATTCTTTTTCACATTTTGGGAACACAAGAAAAGCTCATGGCAAAGTTGACCTTTATCTTAAGGCTCTCATCTGCCTCGGTATGCAACTCATTAATTTTTGTAGTGTTTTTTCTACTTTTGTGAATTTTAAGTATATTTACCATCCTGGATTTTTTAATCAATCCATCTTTGTTAGTTTAAATGTTTTAAATATGTTATACACAGAAATAAGAATTTAATTTTTTCAATTAATTTAAAAATAATTATTTTATAAATCTGCTGAAGGAAGTATGATTTCACTATCTAAGTTAAGCATATTTTCTAGAAAAGAATTAGAATTAATTTTTTATGCTAAAATTATCTGTTTATTCTTTCTTTTGTATATTTGCTATCAACAATACAAACAAAACTGAACATTAGTAAAGTAATTGTAAAAACAATTCATAAATTTAATGATTTATTCTTAGAAAAAAGCTTTTCAAAAATAATGTCCACAAAAACAAGACCAACAACTTTTGAAACAAAACTAAAAACATTTATTATCTAGCAGAAAATACAAAAATAGTTAAAAATTTTAAATATAAAATTAATAAATTTACAGTTAAATATTAAAATAAATGTAAATTACTATGGGAATGATTATTCTTATGTCTAATGTTTAGTTTTGACAGAATTTGAATTTTGTTAATTTTGTATTTGATACATTTAATTAATTTTTATTTACAGTAATATCCTACTTATGCGAACTCGTAGTTACGCGATTTTCAAATCTCGTTGATTCGTCTTTTGTTTGAGCGCCACGCAACCCTTGATTATTCACTCCCCCCACACTATTGTTCAGCTTACATGTTTGGATGTGTCGCGCGGAATCCACACATAGCTACAATTTATTTTGTGTTATTTATTTCTGTGTTTGTTATATCTACGGAAACTCGAGAGACTCTATGTGGTGATTTCTTGTAATCGTGAACGAATCAAAAGACGAGATAAGATTAACGAGAACATTTATTAGCTTACATATGTCCGACTTGGATTTTACACAAATTGCGAAATTATACCCCGACTTAC